CAATAGCAGTTATACATATACCGCTTCATAGGGCTTTCAGCCCTCTCTAAGTGGGTTTACAGAGTCAGCATATTGCCCCCATAGTCAGGATCCTCATTTCACCCACCTCGGAAGGATTGAAGGCTGAGGCAACCTTGAGCCGGTGAGATTTGAACCGCCGAACTGCAGATAGCAGTCAGCTAAAGTGGCCTCCAGTACTGCACCCTAACCACTGCGCCACCTCGGCAGTTGAATTCTACACTATCTGTTTCCAACATTCTCCCCAATTAAGCTGCATTATTTTTCTGGAACAACAAAATGAATTTCTTCCTGCCAGTGTGAAGTCACTCAGCAGTCAAAGGTTGATATGTAAACAAAAGAAAATGGAAATGGAAATGCAGTGAAGGGAGAAAATTGTAGTCCCACATTCAGTTCAACAGTTAAAGAGTTAAATAGGAGTGTGAATAGATCCTGGTTCTAACTATTTTCATTTCTGTTAGAGAAAAGCTATAAGAAAGCTGACCCAATTAGATAGATGATCAATCCAGAATTAGCAGAAGATATATAGTAAATAAAATTTCAGCATTAAAAGCAATAGAGGAAACATACCTTCCATTTACACTTTCTGTGCATTGTGGATATCATGTAAATTTACTCAGATAATGTAAATTCAATTATCTATTTATGTGTCTTGTCCAAACTACTTCGGATACAATGGATTTGTACTCTATTTCAGAAGGAATGACTAGGCAGAAAATTGGTTCATTGCATGTAAAGTCTGCTATATAGAATAAGCTAAATTAAGACTTATTTGTTTCACCTTCCACATAAATTACCCAAAATGGAAAGTGCTTACCCGAAATGCAGATGAGGGGATGGGCATGGGCATTTTTATCACTGAGACTTCTGGATTTGTATACAGGTTAACATTATCTGAATTCTTTTGTCTTTATCTAGTTGTGTTATATTTAACAGCAAATTAGAAATAACATATCAGAAACATCTACTATCTTATTTGCTAAACTGTTTTTACAGTGGTGGTGGAAGCAGCAGCAACATTTGCTTAAACAGAAACCTATGCATCCTCTCTTTTCTCTGTTCTACAACAGCTTCTTGGTTTTATAGACTGTTAAGTGGAGAGTAGAACACTCATGTCTATTATGAGTGGGCAGGGGTGGCTTCCTGCCAGTTCTAACCTCTTCTATAGAAGAGGTTCCACAAATCTACAGTGCCGTTTAGAACCGGTTCCAGCCCCCCCCCCATCTACACATTATCAAGATGAAGAGCGAGAGGAGGAATTCTGGGAGTTGAAGTCCACAAGTCTTAAAGCTGTCAAGTTTGGACACCCCTGGGGGGGGGTTCTAAATGATTAGGGGTACAAGGATCTTATAACTTGACAGGCTTTAAGACTTCCACACTTCAGTGCCAGAGTTAGCAATAGCAATAGCAATAG